CGGCTCCGGTTGCAGGGAAGCTCCGCGGGGGCCGGGGGGTGTCCCGGCGCGGCCCAGGAGGGTCCCGATTCCCTGTGGATCAGTGCCGACGCCGCGGTGCGGCCCGCTCGGTGCGGCCTGGCCCGGTGAGGCCTTGCCCGGGCGCTGCCAGGCCCGCAGGCCTCAGGCGCCGTTGAGGCCCGGGCCCAGCTTGTGACCGCCGCGTTTCGTCCTCTCCCCCGCCGGGAGCGGCCCCCGGCGCCATGTGGTCCGTGCTGTGGGCGGCCGTGCGCTCCAAGGCCCCCTATGTCACCTTCCCGGTGGCCTTCGTGGTGGGGCTGGTGGGCTACCACCTGGAGCGGTTCCTCCGCGGCGACCCCTCGCCTGCGGCCGAGGAGGAGAAGAGCATCTCGGAGCAGCGGGAGGAGCGGAAGCTGCAGGAGATCGCGGGCAAGGACCTGACCAAGGTGGTGAGCCTGAAGGACAAGCTGGAGTTCGCCCCTCGGGCCGTGCTGAACAGGAACCGCCCGGAAAAGAGTTAATTTAAGTTGTTTGGGCAAATTCGGTGCCCTGGAGTGACTGTCCCCGGGGCTGGGGCTGGCCGCCGGAGGGCTGTATCCCACAGCACCGTGTGGGGACTCCTCTGTCACCTGCCTATCTTCCACCAGCCCTCTGCACTGGGCCGTACGAGGGCAATACGCTGCACCCGCTGCTGCTTTTCACCCTCCCGGGGCCCTCCGGAGGGTCAGGGTTTGTCCACCCCGTGGCTGCGCTCGAGACCCGGCCCCCAGACCTCCTCCTGTGTGGCAGAGCAGGCAGGGAGCCCTGCTTCGGAGGGGGAGTGTGTCTCAAACTCAGCAGTTCTCGGCCTGTCCCGACCCCTGATCCCTTTTGGCCTGGTTCCACCCACGTCTCTTTAGGTTTGGTGTGAAGATAGAAGAGATTTGGACCTGAGTGACACGGGGATGGGGTCAGGCTGACTGCCTGTGGCAGGAGGACCTGCTGTCCTGCTTACAGCTCTCCTGTGGCTCCCCGTGAACCCCAACCACAGCACCACGGTACCACGTCACCCCCACGGGAGCCTGAGCAGCGGTGGAGATCTCTGGGGAGCCCCTCTCTGTATCATCCCCAGGCTGCACAGCGAGGAAGGGGGACGGGGGGAGGTGGAAGTCCTGGCCCTGCTTCTATTGTGGAGCTCTGAGTGTGGTGGTGGCTTTGGGCTGGCATGTAGAGAATGGGGATATCCCTGCCCTGTACGGGAACAGCCAAAATAAACTTCTGTCAGTCCTTGGGCCTCTGCGTCTTCTGCATCAGCATCTGGCCCTAACCCTGCCTCACTGCCTGCTGCTGCTCCCCACGTTTTCAAGAAGCAGCCCCTTCTACGGTGGGGGAAATGCCACCGTTGTCCCTGCCTGGCACTCCCCTCGGGGCCTGGCAAGAGGGTGGTGGGCAGGAAGGAGGGGGAGGCACCGAAATCCCAGCCCCTGCTGCAGTTGTGCCTCCCTCCCGGCTCCCTGGGACACGTCATCTGCTTCCCTTCCACCTCCTTATCGAGACAAGAAGGGCTGTGGCGGTGCTGGGTGGGGGGACAGGGGGGTCCTGCTGGGCTGCTGAGCAGGGCAGTGCATGGCAGGAGGGGCTGGCAACGAGTGTGGGGGACTGGTGGCCAGTGTCCCCTCCAGCCTCAGGTGTCACCAACATGGCAGGACCAAACCCTGGCGAGAGCAGGGCCAGCTGGTGCCCGCTGCTGCGCCGGGGCCGAGCGGCTGGAGCCGGGGTTATCGCTGCCTCCCGGCTTGTTTTTTCCCCTGGAGCCTGAGCGAGGCCTCGTGGCTACCCCGGCCCGGCCTTCCCCTCCCGGGGACCATAAATCTGTCCCGTCTGGTGCGAAGCCCTGAGCTCAGCAGCCAGTTCAGCGTTTCGCATCGCTCCGTCCCGCTTCCTCCGGGCCGGCTCCTGCCCCGCTGACAGCTTTACTGCCGCGCTGCCCGGCGTGTTTGCTGCCCGACCTGCTGTCCTGGGGCTGGATCTCATCCCGGCACCGCCGGGAAATGGCAGCCCTTTGCCCTTGGGGTGTGTGGGAGCAGCCGAGGTGGGTTAGAAGGTGCAGGAGGAGTCTCAGGTGATGCAAAGGCTGTCCCAGCCGTGCCCTACTCTGCTCTGGGGGCTCATGGCACCTCTCATGCCACCACCTCGGTCCCCCTGGCAGGCTGGCACTGTCCCCTGAGCTCACCCCTGCCCTTGGCCTCCTGCTTTCCCAGCCTGGCTGTGGGGTGATGGCTGTTCCCTATTGTGTGCCGGGCTGGGAACGGTCCCATCCCTTTCCCCCCCCAGCCGGGACCAGCGGGACCCAGCTCGGAAACGTCTTCCGAGAGGCCTTTGTTCGCCCCGCGACGGAGCGGCTCCCCCGGCTGTTTATAGCCCATTGAGCTGCCTGTTCCCAGGGCTGGCCGGGCACAATTGGGCTTTGTCGGGGCCTCGCTGCCCCGTTTCCTCCCCTGGGCCCACACCGTGTCGGTCGGGGGGGGCTGGAACAATGGGGGGGACTCGGGAACCTCAGGAAGGACTCAGCCCCCACAACAGTGGCACAGGCACCGATGGCACTCTGCTCCCACCGTGGATGTCCTGCTGGTCCTGCCACGTTTCCAGCTGGTTTCCCTGTGTCCTGGGACGCTGTCCATCCCTACGGATCCCCAGCAGGCGCTGGGGCAGGGGTGAAGCTGCTTCCCAGATCCCACTTGCACGTCTAAGGCCTCGGTGCCGTAAACCCACCCTTCCTCCCATTGAATCCCGACAATGTGCTGCCTGGGAAGCACCAGCCCGACAAGAATAGGAGCCCGGTGAGCACTCGGGGCTGGGGCGAGCAGCCACACTGGCTCACCAAGAGTGAGAGGAAGCAGTTTTGAATAACCATTGTGGCAAAAAATCTGGCTTCCCGAACCTGCACACGACTGCTGGAGTGTAAGTCTGGTCCAGCACGTTTGTAATCCAGCTGTTGCCAGCACGGCACAGCTGGGCGCTGCAGCAGGAGTGTGGCAAGGAGCCGTGCCACCAGCATGGCCAGGGTTATTTGGGGAGGGGGGAGGCTTGTCCCCAGGCAGGGATTGCCACACCAGGCTCTGAGGGAGAGCATCCTCATTTTGCAGAGAGCATCCTCCCAGGGCTTGGCCGATTTTGGGGCAGTCCCTGTGTCCGGGGCCGCAGGGCAGGGACTGAATCCAGCTGCCTCCCCCCTGCCCAGCCCGTGGTGGCTGTGCCCCAGGTTCGGAGGGATCAAGCCGGGTTCCCTGCTCTTGGCACAGCCCTGCTGCCTCCCTGCATCCTCCCCGCCAGCTCCCCTGACCCTCTGCCCTGCCCGGGGCAGGGTTTGCTCCCGGGGGTCCATGGGGACGGGCTGGTGAGAGGAGCAGGTTGTTGTTCCGGAGGCAGGATGCAGGGATTGAACCAGAGCCATGGTGGGGGGACAAGCTGTGCCCCAGCTCGCTGGGGGTCGGCCCGGGGGGACTGGGAGGGCTGCAGTCCTTGCTTGAGAGCCCCCCTGGCTGCTCAGCACACCTGGACGGCCGCAGCGGACGTCCGGTGAGATCAGAGCAGGGGATGCACCAGCTGCACGGGGCTGGGGACGCTGTGACCCTGCGCTGGCACAAGGGCTGCTCAGAGCCATCGGGCCCCGTCCCGCACGGCTCGGAGTGACGGTGCTTTGGGGAGGAGTGGAGCAACTGCAGGGGGGTCGGACTAGATGACCTTGAAGGTCCCTTCTGACCTCAATGATTCTATGATTGACATGGGGAGCTGGGCCCTGCAGGGACCCACACTCCTGGGTCCCCTCCGGCAGCTGCGCTGTCACCCCGGGACACCCCAGGTCTGTGGTGTCCCCGCAGCCACAGGACGTAGAGGGTGCTCCGACTAGATGACCTTGAAGGTCCCTTCTGACCTCAATGATTCTATGATTGACATGGGGAGCTGGGCCCTGCAGGGACCCACACTCCTGGGTCCCCTCTGGCAGCAGCGCTGTCACCCCAGGTCACCCAGGGTCTGTGGTGTCCCCGCAGCCCCAGGATGTAGAGGGTGCTCACCCCAGTTGCACTGGAGACCAAATGGTGCCTTCCCCCCCCCGCCACCAGCAGCGCGTCCCCCGCAGCCCCTGGGGACTCCTCTCCCTGCCGGGCAGCCGAGCCTCTTTTCCCAGGCTCCAGTTTTGCCCTTTTCCCGAGAGCAGCCGAGTCCTTTCCCAACCTCCCCATCTTGCCTCTTCCGGCCACGGCCCCACGGTGCAGATCTGCCCTGCCGTGCCCCAAGGCTCCTTTCTGTGGCCAACAAAATCCCCAAAGTGCTGTGAGAGAGGAGCAGCTCCGCTCTACACGGAGATGCTGCCCCTCAGCCCTGGTTGGGGACAGCCACAGCGGGACTTGTTCCCTTCCTGCTCAGCATCAGCTCTTGTGGCCACAACCCAAGGCTGAATCCCCATCTCAGCACCCCCAGGGCCACCACAGCTCCTTGCTTTTAGACCAAATCATAGAATCATAGAATCACAGAATCGCCCAGGCCGGAAGGGACCTCCAAAGGCCATCTAGTCCGACCCCCCCGCAGTCTGCAGGGACACCCCCAACTAGACCAGGTTGCCCAGGGCCTCGTCGAGCCTCTCCTTGAATATCTCCAGGGAAGGGGCCTCAACCACCTCCCTGGGCAACCTGTTCCAGTGCTCCACCACCCTCACAGTGAAGAGCCCTCTCCTCATCTCCAGTCTAAATCTGTTCCCCTCCAGCTTGAAGCCATTGCCCCTCGTCCTGTCACTGCAGGCCTTTCTAAACAGGCTCTCCCCAGCCTTCCTGTAGCCCCCTTCAGGTACTGGAAGGCTGCTATTAGGTCTCCCCGGAGCCTCCTCTTCTCCAGGCTGAACAACCCCAGCCCCCTCAGCCTGTCCTCGTAGCAGAGGTGCTCCATCCCCCTGATCATCCTTGTGGCCCTCCACCACCCTGCACCAGAAAAAAACCCTGAGCACATGGGCAGCAGCTTCTACCCTCATGGTGCTGCACTGGGACGGTGCCCTGAGCCACTGGCAAGAGGTGCTCCATCCCCCTGATCATCCTTGTGGCCCTCCACCACCCTGCACCAGAAAAAAACCCTGAGCATGTGGGCAGCAGCTTCTACTCCCATGGTGCTGTACTGGGACGGTGCCCTGAGCCGCTGGCAGGGGCAGGACCCATCTCAGGGTGGGCATGGGGTGGGCACGGGGTGCTGGGTGCCCCGGTCCTGTTGCCTCCATGCGAGGAAGCGGCCAGAGGGGAGCGACAATGTCAGGATGCGGGAAGTCGTCGGGGCTATTGAGCCGTTTCCTCCCGCCCGTGGTTCTCACACGGGGCTGCATTGTCTGCCATGCCCGCGCGTGGAGGGGGGGCTAAATATAACCCCGCGGGGGGACGGGCCCACGGGGGGAAGGGAGACGTTTGGGGTTTGCTTCTCCTTCGTCGTGCGCCGTTGGCAGCGGGGCTGGTAAAGGCAGGATGGTACCTGCTTTGGTGTTACCTCCGTGGTGGGTACCGAGACTCAGGGAGTCCCCGCCTGGCCCAGGAGGATGCTCCTTCCTTTTCCCCGCTCCCCCTGAAGGGCTGTGGGAAATGGGGGGGCTGGGGGCTGTGGGCAGAGCCCTGGGCATGGATGGGGCTCCTGCGGGACAGGAGTATCCCCCTGGCATCCCCCTGCCCAGCCCTCTGCCCTTCTTCCCGTCAGCTGCGCTTCTGCTCCCGCTGCAGCTCTTCCTGTGAGTGGGTCAGATTTAGACACTTGCTATTTTCTGTGCGCTGAGAAGGCTTAAAAATAAACTCCTTGGTGCTCAGCCAGCGCCTTGAGCAGAGTCTTGCAGGCGGGACAAGCTGCAGCAGCCCTCACGGCTCCTCTCCTGCAGCCCAGGACAGGATAGTCCAGGGGAAGCCCAGCATGGACTGGTCCTAACTGGGAGGAGGGCAGGAACCTCCCTACAGATGCATGGCCATGGGGCAGAGTCACTGGTGTAGGCTCCCAGGGGCTGTGACTGGTGTCAGACCGATATCCCCAGCAGGAGTTGGGGTCCCGGGACTGGCAGAGATGCCCCAAAGCCTTTCCTGACTCAGGGGGGTGCTCCAAGCGACCACCCCTCAAGCATCCTCCCAAACGAGCAGCAGAGGGGTGCCCAGGGGGCTGGCCATGCACCCAAGGGACACCCCACGCCAGTGCCTCGGGCTGTTGGTGGTCAGGTCAGATGCACATCCATCTGTCTGTCCATCTCTGTCCCTCTTCCTTTCACTCCTTTGGCCGTGTCACCTCCCTCTCTGGGCACTCACTTTCTTCTTGGGGGGGCTGAGGATACGGGAGCAGCCCCACGGTGCTGCCTGTACCCAGCTGAGGAAGGCAGCCTGGCTCCTGCCCCACGGCACAGCGCGGCTCTCCCTCGGCTGCCCGTGCCTCTGCAGGGCTCACCATCACGGTACGGGACCAGGCTTTGGGGCAGAACGGGACCGGAGGAGCCTGTTTACTCAGGAGGGAGCACAGAGGTGTGAGAAAGGCCGTGCGTGTCCGGCCGGCCACTATCTGTCCCCGGGCTCTGCCAAAGGGCTTCACGGGGCCAGCCCGAGCCCTTATCAGCTGCGAACTTTTATTTGCCTAAAAGGCCACCCACCCGCCCTTCTGGGGGGCTGCTGCCAACACCGCCCCCCCCCTGACACCCCCTGTCTGGCTCCACCACGCAGGTGAGCCCCTCGCTGTTGTTGTTGGCATGCGGGTCCCGGCGGCGTGGGGGTCACCCCGGCCACCCCCAGCCTCCTTGTCACAACACGGGAACAATAGCGGGAGGCAGAGCCGTGTTTGCGCAGCCCCGGCCACCGGGCACCGTGTCCAGGGAAGGGGGCTCTGGGCCCGTCTTGTTTTCCACCTTGCAGGGCCGTTCGGAAAAGCGTGATGCTCCCCCGGCGCCAACACAAATATCAGCCCTGGAGGGGGGAGGCGAGGGGGGGTAAACACACACTGTGGCTGCACCGTTACCTTTCACACGGGCATTTCCTCCTGGCTGGACTGCTGGCCCCAGAAAGACACAGCACTGCAGGGATTTGCAGCCCTGCTGGTACTCAGCGAGGTCTGGGCTGTGGTCCCCCATTGTACTGGGGTGCCCCGGGGGGGTCCCCACTGGGCAACAGCGGGAGCAGGGCAGGGTCTCTCCAGAGATGGTGGGAGCAAGGCAGGGTCTCTCCAGAGGGGATTTACTCCAGGATCCTCATGGAGGGCGCAGGGGAGGGCTGAGAGGCAGCAGTGTGCACCCCAGACCCCCACCCCGGGGGATTTCACCCCCCCAAACCCAGCAGGGTGGGGAGCCAAGGGCAGGCTCGGCCGCCAGCCCAGGCTGTGCGCTGAGGGCAGAGCAGCGGGTGCCTCCCTCTCCGCTTCCTCTGGGGCCGATGGCAGCGATATCACCCCCTATCACCCATATTTCATTTTCTCCAGGGTATTTTTAGCCCGTCCCACCCTCGCTGAAGAGGCCCTCGGCAGCGAGCAGCCTCTGCCCCGGGCTGGCTCGGCCAGAGGAACTAAACAACAGCCCCAGCCACATTGTGTGCCTTTATCTGCTGCTCATTTCCACCTATTATGCAGCCGTGAGCAGCTCCACAGCCTCTGCTGGGTTTATCTGCAGCAGAGCCAGGGCAGAGAGGCTGGCTACGGGGACAAGCCCTGCTCTGGGCCACCCAGAGCCTGTGCCATGATGGCCCTGTCACAGCCCCTGGGCTCAAGGAGACAGGACACAAGAGCAGGGAGGGCTGTGCTTTCAGTGGGTGGGTGGCTCCAGCAGCACAACTGGAGCTCAGAGGGTGCCCACACTCATCCCACCACCCACAGGACAGGGGGTTCCCTCCTCAGCCCTAAGCCCTTGCCCACCCTCCCCGAGGCAGCTGCACAAAGCGCAGTCACACTTCACTTTTTTTTCCTCTCATCCAACTTTATTCAACAAGATGCAACACTGAGTCTGCCGGGGGGAAAGGGAACAGCATTGAGGAGCAATGTCTGCGTCCCACACTCGTGCCTGGGTCACGCAGGACCCACAGCCCCTCAGGCACAACAAGACCTTCCCCTTTCACAGCACAGGGGGGCTGGGGATGTCAGGGCAACCGCTCTCACAGCAGCGGTTGGTTCTTTGGTGTCCCCCCAGCCCACAGCAGGAGGTGACTAGTGCAAAGTAGTAAAACCATTAACCCCCCCCCAACCAGCAGTTCTGAGGCTAATTCTTTCCCGAAAAAAATCACAGGGCTCAAGGGGGCATGGCCAGGCTGGACACGACTCCCCAGATCCCCCCACAATGGCACCTTTAAGGCAGAAAGCTCTGTGCTCAGGCCAGCAGGTTAAAAATAACTTAAGAGACACACATCACATGGGAAAGGGCCGGGAGGCGGGGCAGGGGGGGAGCTCACACTCCCGGGGCACCCGAGCGGTGACCCCGCAGCCATCGGCATCACCCGGTCACCACAGAGACCTGCCGGTGGCTCGACTCCCCCCCGTGCTCCGTGGGGAAGGGGCAGCTCCTGCAGCAAACCAAAGGGCAGGAGGTGCTGGCCCCGCTGGCTCCCTGCCGGGGTCACAGGAACAGGACGGGGCTGGTGGCCAGGACCCGTCAGACAGCGCTGCTCCCCCCCAGCCCAGCTCCCCCCCAGGCTCAGCCCGCTCCGTGCGGAGGCGAGCGGCTTCCCACGGCCACATGCCCAGTCTCACGCCCGGGGGGGCTCCAACAAGCCCCGGGATCCAGCCGAGCCGTGGCTCCCAAGGGACAGGAAGCCTCTCGCCACAGCCCTGGGGACAGCCTGTTCCCAGTTACATGGCCCCAGGGATTTCTCCCTTTCCCACGGCGAGGCACGCGGGACACGCCGTCCCGGGGAACTTTCTGCAGTTTCCTTCCTTGCAGGGCCTGTGGGGAAAACAGGAGAGAGAGCGGAGGCTCCGCTCAGCCCCGCGCCCGAGCATCACCTCCCGGGGGCAGGCGGGTCTCTGCATCCATAAGGCACAGCACCGGGCAGGAGGAGGCAGCCACTGCCCATGGCCAGCACCTTCAGGGGCAGGAGGGGCCGAGGAAGGTCCCCCCCCGGCCGGCCGGGGCCAGCCCGGCACTAGACATATTGCTTTTTGGAGGCTGAGCTCCCAGGCCGGCTGCACAGCTTCTCCTCCGGGGCGGGGGCTTCGGCAGTCCTGGGGGCGTAGGGGTCCGAGAGGGGCCTGTTCCCGCTGCCCAGCGCCAGGTTCTCCTCGTTGTGGAAGTTGGCCCAGTTCTCACTGGAGAGCTTGTTGTAGGTCTGGTAGGGCGGCGTGTGGCTCTCGGCCATGGGCAGGAAGGGGTAGTGCTTGGGTGCGTAGGGACCCGAGGCCATGTCGTCGGCAAAGGTGTCCCGGGTTGGGCCAGTCGGCACCGACACCTTCTTGATGTTGCTGAGCAGGTTCTTGCAGCAGAGGTGGAAGAGCTCCAGGAGGTTCAGGACTAAGGAGATCAGTCCCATCACCAGCATGAAGATGATGAAGATGCTCTTCTCGGTGGGGCGGGAGATGAAGCAGTCCACCTGATGGGGGCAGGGGTCCCTCTTGCACACGTAGCGGGGCACCATGGAGAAGCCGTACAGGTACCACTGCCCAACGAGGAAGCCAGCCTCAAAGATGCTCTTGCAGATCACACTCATGATGTACGTCCACATCAGCGCCCCGCGGATCTTGAGCCGCCCGTCCTCTGTCACGTAGATCTTGGACATCTTCTTCTCCACAGCTGCCAGGGCCTGCTCGATCTTGGGGTCCTTGCTGTGGATAGCCCGAAGCTCACTCTCCCGTTGCTTCAGCTTCTCCTCCTTCCGAGAGAGATAGACAACGTGGCCAAGGTAAATCAGAGTCGGGGTGCTGACAAAGAGGAACTGGAGCACCCAGTAGCGGATGTGGGAGATGGGGAAGGCTTTATCGTAGCAAACGTTGGTGCAGCCCGGCTGCTTGGTGTTACACACGAAATCCGACTGCTCGTCCCCCCAGACGGACTCCCCGGCCAAGCCCAGGATGAGGATGCGGAAGATGAAGAGCACGGTGAGCCAGATCTTCCCGATCACAGTCGAGTGCTCCTGGACTTGGTCCAGCAGCTTCTCCAGGAACCCCCAGTCGCCCATCTTCTAGGGAACCTTGTGTCTCTGGCAGCAGAGAGGGGAGAAGAGGGGATCCAAATCAATCCAAATCAATCCTCCGTTTCCACACTGGAGAGCACAGGGCAGACGGGGCTACCAAACCCCAGGCTTTGTCAGGACACGGCTGCTCTGCAGAGGGTCCCAGCAAACCCCCCACGGAACATCCCATGCCTGCGGGAAGGAGCCAGGCAGCATCTCTGAGCCCAGGGGTGCTCCTCCTCCACCCCACTGCCCAGGGTGGAAACGTGGGGCTGGGGGAGAAGAGGCAGCAGGGGGATTTGTCTCTCCCCAGTAACACCCAGCCCATGGCTTGGGGCTGCCCTGGGACACAGCCAGGGCGAGGGGCTCGCTGGCCATCTGGTTTGGGGTGGGAGCACAGGGGGGGTCAGGGGCACAGCGGGCAGAGAGGGCGCATG